CTCCCTGCTCAGTGGGGAACCTGCTTCTCCCTCTCCCACTCCCCCAGCTTACATTCCCTCTCTCCCTGTGTCTCTCTCTGTCAAATAAATAAATAAAATCTTTAAAAAAACAAAAACAAAAACAGAAACACCTCATTGACAGAAGCCAGGCACAAAAGGCCATATACTATCCGATTCTGATATAAAACGTCCAGAAGAGGCAAATCTATAGAGGAGTGTCTTGGCGCATGGCCACTGGGGCCCCGTCGTTCTCTCCGGTGGGGCAGGATGTGCAGGAGCATCTCTGGGCTCCCCACCCCTCCACCTGATGCCAGCAGCACCACAGCCCCACTCCAGTCCTAACAACCAAAATGTCTAGACATTTCCACCTGTCACCTGGAGGCAAAATTGTCCCCAGTTGAGAACCACTTCCTTCCCCTCACCCTGGAACTTGCCGGGACAACCCCTCCTTCCCAGACATCCCACCTTGGGGAATTGGGCTGAAACAGCCTCCCTTAGGGACTCACAAATGTCACACGGAGAACGTGATTGTCCTTCCAGCCTTCTGAGGAGGCGGGATACTCACTTGTCTTGAACACCTGAAATTCACTATATATTCCCCTCTCACCGGAAGGAAGCAAAGGGCCCCCACCTTAGAACCCAGGCCGGAACAATCCCCAGCTAGACTGTCACTGCGCTGTTTTCTCAAAAGCTACCTTGTGCTTTAAACCTGATATCGTTGCCTGTACCCTCATCAAACACAAAAGACAGTCGGTAGGATACGAGGGCATTTAAAGCGAGTATGAATCCGTGATACTCCAGGCGGCAGGGCCAGAGCGGAGGAAAGAGATTGAGGTTTGAGGGTGGCATGGGGTCACCTTGCCAATGCCCCACCCCCAGACCTAGCTGCAGCCCCCTCCTCGTCAGAGCTCCGCTGACCTCCACCGCCCAGAGCCCCGACCGACCCGGTCCCCACTCAGGGCCTTGCAGGGTCCCACCCGCCGCGAAGCGCTCTCGCCCCTCTCCGCCTCCCGGTCTTTCCCCGGCCAGGATGACGCCAGTCCCCCCCGGTTGCGCCGGCCGGCCTGGGCCTCAGCCTTCCCGTCTGTGAAACGAGTCTGGCCCCGACTCCCCTTCCGAACCCCGGGGGCTGGACTCCAAGTCCCAGAAAGCCCTGCGCTTCCCGTGGGTGGGGCCCGGGGGTCCCCCTCCCCGCGCGGTTTGGGAAGCGACGGTAATTTTCAAATTTTGGCGCTGGGCGGACGGGGCGGCG